TTGAAAGTGGACCCAAGTGTAGAAGCGGAAGGAGAAGAGGCTGACGCGAAGTGTAGGCAATGTGAGATCAAGGAAAAAATGGAGAAAATGATGGTTACCCAGAGTGACCTACTGATGAGAATCACCGAGCTCGAGACTGCATTGGCGACAAAGCAAGAGAAAACGAGGGCTTTGGAAGAAAAGCTGAAGTCTGCTGAGGAAGCACTAGCCAAGGTAAACAGAGGAGCGAGCGGCCTACGGAGAGAAGAGTAGGGAACCGGCAACCAGAACTGCAGAGAAGAAAGAGCAAGCAAGTTTGGAAAAAACAGGTTCAGCCGGTTCATTTGTCGCAAGGCCCAGCTTCAGCGAAGTAGTGGTGGGGCTGGGAGGGGACAAAGCAGCCAGCGTCACAGGTGCAAGTAACCCCCAGGTGCAGGACGCTACAGCTGAAAAGTCACAGCATGTCATAATCGCCGGGGAATTGAATTTAAATCGATGCACAGAAGCCATCAAAGAGAGGGTAAGAGGTGACAAGAGGGTTGCAGTAGGGGTGTTCCCAGGATGCAAGCTAAAAGCGGTCATGAGGCAAGCGAGCGCAAAACTCAAAACTACAGCTGATAGACGAAACTTCGTGATAATTTCAGGCGGTTTAAACGATGTCCTAAATGAAGATACAGCAGGACTAGCAACTACACAGGCGAAAGGCGTCGATGACATGCGCGCCACTTCTCAGGTACAGGCAGCGATATGCACGATACCGGAGGTACCGGTGCGTGATAGCAACCTGCAAAAAGCGGTTGTCAACGCAAGCCAAGAGATATGGCGGATGAGTCGAGAGAAAGGCTTTGAGGAGATGGAAATAAACAGAGAGGTGCATAGGTGGGGTAGTTTTCAACGAGACAGAATTCACTTCGATGGGCGGCTAGGTCATGAAGTAGGTTGGCGACTTGCAGGACGCGCAGTAGCTTTTTTGGGGGGCAAGCGGACCCTTCGGAGTGCAGGATAGCTAGCAACGAGGAACACAACCAGGGAGACTCTTTGACAGGTGGTATGGACAGGTACGATTCCAAAGTGGCACCAGTACTTAAGATAGGTAGAGTCCGGGGCAGAAATAGACGTAGCCACGAGTGTCGAGCCAATTCAGACATAGGGTATATTAACATGCAGGGTGGTAGGAACAGGCTGAAGTGGGAAGAGATAGAAGAACAGCTAAGGGAGGAGAGGCCGATGGTATACGGTTTTGTAGAAACACATCTCAAGGACATGGAACAATCTCCTAACAATGCGGAGTACGCGTGGGAATATTGTAATCGAACAGAAGGCAGCAAAAAGGGGGGTGGTATTGGGCATTCATTCATAAAAGTACAGACTGGAAAAGGGTCAAGCAGGAGTCCAAGGAACATTTATGGCTAAAAGGGAAAGTGGCAGGTCAAATGACACTCCTTGGTTTCGTGTACTTGTGGACGGGAGCAAAGGCCAGAGAGAAAAACCAGGCAATGGTAGAGTGTATATCAAAGGACGTTCAGAAGTTAGGAGGAGAGCCGAGATAATTATACTAGGAAATATGAATGCACACATAGAAGATATAGATGGGTATGCCGACCCGACAGGCAAAATGATCATGGATATGTGTGAAAGACTTGATTTGGTCATTTGCAACAGTACCGAGAAGTGTGAAGGGCAAATAACATGGGAGGTAGGAAGGCTGCAGTCGAGGATATATTACGCACTGATGTCACATAGGATGTATGATAAGCTCAGGGGAATGCACATAGATGAAGGTGGCTCCAGAAGTCTGGGTAGTGATCACAAACGTATCTAGCTAAGTTTTGGAAGAGCAGTGAAAGTGGAAAGGAGACAAGATGAGCAACTACAGGAAAATTTTTTTCAGAAAGGCAAATTGAAATAGCCACTAAACAAATTGAGAAAGTAATCACTGAGGATAATAAAACAGTGTGGACATACACGAATCTAATTAGACTGTTTGAGCTAGAGCTTGCTAAGGCACGTGACAAGTCACCCCGGAAAAGAAGACACAAACCCAAAAGTTGAGGGGATGAGGAAGTTAAGAAAGCCATAGCAAAACGTCAGGAAGCTTCTAGAGAACACAGACATGCTAAGCAGCGGGGTGAACCGACAGATGATGTTGAAAGAAAATGGGAAATCTTTCTAAGCTCTAGAAGGGAAGCATCCCACCTGATCAATGAGAAGATTAGAAGAAAAGGTGCTCAGTGACTGGCAGAAGTTTATAAAAAGGACAGAAAGGCAGCTGCGAAATTTTAGAATCATCTAAACTCCCTAAGAAATGAAACAAGCATAGAGAAGAGGTTGATAACTACAGCTCAAGGCGCTAAGCTAAAAAGGGACGAAGCTATTGAATATATAAGAACAAGGGTGACAGAAAAATTTCAACAAAAAAGTGCATTATGCACCACAATAGACAAGGATGAATCAAGTGGCGCAATGGCTCCATTTTCACAACAAGAGTGGGAAAGGGCTCAGAAGAGGGTTCCTAGCAGTACATCAACAGGCTAAGATGGCATTCCAATTATGCTGATAAAGACATTAGGTCCGAAGTCTAAGCAGGCTTTGAGAGAGGCCGTGAACAAAATAATAATCGATGGAGAAGTTCCCGATGGATGAAAACTTAGCAGGATGAGCATGATCTATAAAGCGAAGGGGACAAAGTTGACAAACAACTACCGTCCTATAACAGTGACATCAGTGGTCTACAGGCTGGCACTGCAGATTATAAAGGAAAGACTGCAGGCATGGATAGAGGATGAGGGGATGCTGGGGGAACTGCAGAATGGGTTTCGGCAACACAGGAGGTTGGAAGACAATCTGTTCTCACTGACGCAGTGCATCGAAATAGCAGAAAAGGAACACAGGCCCCTGTGGCTAGCATTTTTGGATATCAAGGTAGCGTACGATAGCGTGGTTCAAGAGGAATTGTGGGGAATACTGGACACACTGGGTGCAGAAGATGGAGTCACTAATCTTTTAAAGGATATCTATAAAGGTAACAAGGCAGTTATGAAGTGAGAAAAACAGGTAACCAAGCCTGCAGAGGTAAAACGGGGGCTTAAGCGGGGGTGTCCCCTGTCACCCTTATTATTCATGATGTACCTACAAGGATTAGAGGCCAAATTAGAGGGAAGTGGACTGGGCTTCAACCTCTCTATAGTAGTCAAACAAGGAAAACTCATTGAACAGGCACTACCAGCATTGATGTATGCAGATGATATAGTGCTAATGGCCGACAACAAGGAAGATTTGCAGAGATTGGTGGACATCTGCGGTAATGAGGGAGAAAGGTTAGATTTCAGATTCAGTAAGGAAAAATCAGCAGTCATGATTTTTAATGACAATGAAGGTAGTGAGCTTAGAATACAGGAGGTCACGCTAGAGATAACAGATAAATACAAATATCTGGGCGTATGAATGAGCAATGGGGCCGAGTAGATAAGGGAACATGAAACATATGTGACGACTAAAGCTAACAGGAATGCAACGGTAATGAAAAACAGGGGACTGTGGAATTACAATAGGTATGATGTTTTGTGAGAGGAATATGGAAAGGGGTCATGGTTCCTGGTCTGACGATCGGCAATGTGGTCTTGTGCATAAGATCAGAAGTTGAAGCAAGATTAGAAATTAAGCAACGTGGAATAGATAGACTTGCCTTAGGAGCTCACGGGTGATATGGGATGGACATCATTTGAGGGCAGAAAAGCTAACAGCAAGATAAAATTTGAGAAGCGATTGAGAGAAATGGGGGAGGAGCGTTGGGCTAGGAAGGTATTCAGCTATTTGTACATGAAAAATTTCGACACAATATGGCGGAAGCGAACCAAAAAATTGACTGGTATATACTTGGAAAACAGCAGGGGGCCAATCCAAAAAGAATTATCAGTTAAGAAGGAGGTGAAAGAAGCTGAGACCGATATGTGGAGAATTGGCATGATTAAGAAGTCCGCACTAGAGATCTGCCGAACTTTTAAGGAGGAAATTGCCAAGGAAAGGATCTATGATAATACTCGGGGTAGTTCTCTACTGTTTGAGGCCAGGACTGGAGTATTGCGAACCAAGACATATCGGGCCAAATACGAAGGGATAGACACGGTATGCAGTGTGTGTGGAGAGGAAGAAGAAACTGCCGAACACTTGATAATGTTCTGTAAAGGGCTTCACCGTATAGTTCAAGATGATGGCGCAGAGTTTTTCAAAGCACTGAGGTTTAGAGACAGGGAGGGCAAAATAGACATTTAGCGGGTAGAATTAACAAGAAGGAGGTTGTCTGATTGGTGGCTAAAGTCAAGGCATGAGTGAAAATAGACCCTTCACTGCAAAGTGCGAATCCTCAACCTCATTATTTAAGGGAAAAAAAAAAATAAATCTAGTTTTTGGTTCATTAAGTATTACGGCTTGGTGGCGCTAGCCACCGCCCGATCTAAAGGGTACAGCCATATCTATCCATCCATCCATCCTCGATGCGCTTGTTCGCCTCCGCTGCACGCTCGAGACACACTAACACAGCGTTTCCGGAATACCACTCACCGATTTTCTTGCGCAGAACATCAAATAAATGTTTTGTTCACTATCTCCACACTCAAGACTATCGTCTTTCGACGACATTTGCAGATTACATGCAGATACGGGGCCAATTTTTTTCTTTAAAATTTAACGCCACCATGTGTGGCAAACACAACGCGTTTATATCGCAACGACAATACTCGGTTTCAACACAAGGAACTAGTCAGGGCGCGCGCGAACGAAGCCCGCCAGCGAGCGGCTGTGCCCTCTGAAGGTTGTATCCCAAACTTTTACAGCCTTTTGGCCACGTTGCCGACACTAGAAAAACCTTCTAGCCACTACAGTAAGTGCATCGCCAAGGCAAAACGAACTGACTAGCCCCTTTGTCGCATTACCTGCAGTGGGCATTGTCAGGCTGATGATGAAGATGACAGGATGTGAACACACAATGCTAAACCCAAGCACAATTCAAAGGGTAGACTTACGTAATTCGGAAGCACTGCTGTGAGAATGGCCCCTTCTGCAAAGGCCTGTAGAAGCTGATAGAGGTGCCTGGCCGTGACAGCATGCTCCAAGTCATGCAGAAGATCATTCTCGTCTGAGCAGGTCCGAACAGCAAACTTGCGGTCAACGTACTTAGCCCGAATGAACTCACACCGCTCCTCCCTGAAAGCAGCGTCACTCGGTCTTCAGAGGTCTCTACACTGTCTTCAATATTTGATTAAAGCACCATAGGAAAAAAAATGGAGAAAGAAAGGGCAAGCACTAATCTTAAACATTTATTAGAAGATGTCACCACAGCAAGACAATAGGTGTTTTAGCTTGTACGTACCGTATTCATTAAAGAAACTAAAATAAGTTAAAGCAGTAATGAAGTGTACTTGCTTGTTTAACAGAATTAGCCCGTACTTTAACCTATCGAATCGGGTCATGCGCAGTCTAGTCCGTATCGCTGATAGAGAGGTCAAACTGAGAATCATCATCGCAGCCGCTGCCACTATCCTCGCAAACGCATCGCCTTCGGTTTTGTCCAGCGCGTTCGAATGCCCTATTTTCTTGAAGCTCTTCACGACAATGCTGGGAAGAAGCAGGTGCCACGATACGGCAATACCGGGGACCTAAGTGTTCACACATAATTGAAAAGTCCTTCTTCAACAGCAGGGAACTTGCATCAGCAAGCGTGCAATTTTTCTTCCGTACCGATCACGCGAATCGCCACACGTTCTAGAACTCCACGCTTACGTGCTTGGCGATGGCACGATTCCCATTCTCTTCGGCAAACTTCACAACAGCGAGCTTGAATTTTGCTGCATATATATAATTACTGTAGCCCACTGCAAGAAAACAGTAAAGACGCGAAGGACGGATGGCGAAACCTAAACTTCCGAAATAAACCAAGCATGCATTGCAGCACGGACACTGAGAACGAAGAGAACAACAAGCCCTCACAGACCTACGGTGCCGAAAGTTGTCTGTGCCGTGATGCGAGCATGCACTTACATGGTGGAAGAAATGGAGAGATTAGAGGGGACAAGTGCCTTAGCAGTTCCGGCGACCCGTCAACAGGTTTAAGTGTTCGTGCACAGTACTCTAGGGATTCTAGTTTGGGGGAAGTCTTCAAAAGAAGTCACTTCACACTTGCAGCCTGTTTGACCGCACTCGCCTGATCGGCGGGCCGCGCTCCCGGCGTGCCCATCCAAAGAATCCAAAGCTCCACAATCTCTTTGTATGCACGTCGACAAGCTGGCTCGGTTGGGTCAGGGGGTGCGCAAAATAAGCGAGTAAATATTTTTTTTCATAAGGATGTCAAAATATTGAGGGTATGAAAAATATGCGATGGCACCAGTCATGCGAGTAAATAAGGTATATTTCCTTACCTTACTATGTTACCATATACTGGATAGAATCTGTGCATGTGTGGCTCTTTATGCAACGTAAACCTTTACGTAATATAAACTACCTGCCATATAAGCTTTACGTTTCCCGCCCTTACTCGCAAATCCACCTTCTTTCATAAAAACTCCCGGTATCTGCACTACGGAGACTCGAGCCATCGAGTCAAAATAGGCCTAAGTGCAAGCAGCAATAGCGATTGCATTGTTTCAGCCAGATTACCAAAGCTTAAATGGGTTAGAGCATAGACGCCGAAAAACGTGCGAGCCACCAACAAGCAGGATAGGTAGTGCCATCCAGCAGTTCCATATTGCGTTATCAAAAAATTGTTATTACAGAAACATCGTGCATTGTGCGTCTGGTGCAAAAACTGTGCAGCAGCATTATTACGAATGACTTAGCTTTTTAATCATTTTTACCCGAAAAACATTACACGTAAACTAACGTGTTCATGACTGTGGTTACACGAAGTGTTACAAGATGTCGACATCATCATTGCAGTAATTGTATTTTCCAACATATTGCACTTACAAGGACACTGTACAATAAAAAAAAATCTAATGATTTTGCCACAACAGCGATTCAATCGTATATAAGTTAAATACAGTTTAAACGCACTTAGTATACCCATTCAGGGTTTGCAAAAACATATGCATGTAAACGTTTACGTATGAGGAGCTAAAACATTGAAAGATATGTGTTCCAATAAGACGGTAAACACAAACCGGTATCCGGTAACACATTAACACAAAGAAGTGTACATACAAGTTAAAAGCCCCTAATGCACAACTGATGCGATTATCTCCAGAATAAAACAACAAAAAGAGGCGCAGATGTGAATGACCCTCGCCACGACGGAACATGTGAAAATTGTACATACAATAACCAATGAAAATGTAGAAAATATGTATGCACTCCGCATCAGAAAGCAGTTGCAATTTCAGAAAAAATACTTCTCGCCTTTAATATTCAACGCCCTTTGTACGTTCAGACATGTTCAGCAACAACAAAGATCAGCCTTTTTTCCAGGCCTTCGGCTGTATATTCATAAAAAAATCCCTCAGAATAACGATAAAATTTTGTGACCTTATTCAGTCTTACTTGCATAGGGTGCACGTGTACTGGTACAATCGTCGACTTCACAATATGTACACTCACATCACTCAATTGGCTTGCCAAGGTAGGGTAGCATGCGTGCCTAGGCTTCCTTTCCCTTTTGCAGTGGCCTAGTTGGGGGGACACGTTGGTCCCTGAGAGAGAGAGACAATGAGGCCTTTTTCGAGGGGAAACATTCACTCAGCGGCCGGGGCACGCTATTCCCCCTTTCCAGGCTTGTGAAACGGGTTACCCTCTGTCGTCGAGAGAATCAACCCTTGTTGGCGCGGGGTAAACTGGGAGGTTGGTCGAAAGGAGCTAGCCGATAAAGAGAGGGTCTCACTTGCACCGACCACCACACAGCGAGGACAACACTCAAATGCCCCCTGCGAGCCAAGGACGCATGGTGCCCTGTCATCGACTACATCCGGCCCCCAACATAATGAATTTAACAACGCGGCTAGTTTTGTCGACGCAAGCAATTAAACACGCCCCTCCAACACAGGACAACAGGCATATCAGAATTCCAAGATTTGTTCATGCTGTCTGATGTTGCGTCGCAGAGTGTCGATACTTTGGCTAATTGCAGGTGCATCGTTCGGACTCTCTGGCAACGTAGATATTGGTCGTTTCACACAGGACGACCAGAAGGTTGCGGAGACTAGGCCTACAATTGAGAGCGCCACGCATGGCACCCCGTCAACTCGCAACACGAACAGAGAGGCTCCACCACAAGTTACTTCGACACACGCTGCAACTGTAGGTGCATCTTCGAGCAATAGTTTGCCCTTGAGCAAGATACTCTTGCAGAACACGCTGCCAATTAAGCAAAGCCTGGCGAGCACCCTGCTGAACAGAGTGCACATTCTGCACGCCCCTGTGCAGAATGTGCGACCCCGTGTCAAGGTACACACGCCTACCTACACTGGCTATCACGACTGCAAGAGCACTAACGAGTATCTCGATCGGTTGCACCACTGTCAGCAGGTAATGGGGCTTTTTGACGCTAAACTTCTCAAGCGCGTGGGCCCGGTGTCGCTCACAAAGCAAGCGGCTCTATGGTTCAGACTAACCGGACATCGTGCCTGCACGGTAGAAGAGTTCCGCGACAGCTTACGCGGCCAATTCTTTCCGGCTAATTATGAATGGTGTTTGTGGAGGGAATTGAAGCTACGCACCCAGAATCCGAACGAATCCTTGCTGGAGTATGTATGAGCGATAGACCAACTGTATTGTCTCGCTAACCCTCATGTCACCAACGCAGAAAAGGTCGAGCGCGTTACGCGACAAGCACACCCGACTTTCGCGGTACATTTAAGGGGATGCAAGTTCGCAAACCTGGAAGAGCTCAGCGCCACAGCGAAGCGCATACAACGAATGGGACATCCTCGCAGCGCGAGTGTATCACCCCCCTACTCTTGCAGCGCAGTCAATCGAGTCTCGCTGCATGTAGAATGGCGGCGCAGTAGTTTCAGAGGCGTTTTCAATCCAGTATCGCTGCGTGTAGAATGGCGACGCAGTAGTTTCAGAGGCGTTTAGGGGTAACGTGTCAGCACCGTACGGTGATGAGCACGTACCACACGGTTGGGAGCTGTTAGACCACGCTCTCTTGACCCCTACGCTTACACTCTCCGTACGGCCCATGCTAAGGGCAAGAGCACGCAGTCTGCACGAGGCCAGATGAGCGACGCAACCCACAGCGAGGCCCGCCCGACCGAGGCGAATTGTGGTCAGGCCAGAGTGGTTTTCGCAGTCCTTGGTATCAGAGTGGCAGGCCGGGGCACATCACCCGCGATTGCGACCACACACCAGGTCAGGAGAAGATGTGCAGTTCGGGAAACGGACGGCACCGCCGGATCACTGGCACGTTCAATCTGTCGCACAGGTGATGCTGTAGACTTGCCCGCACCGCTAATAGAGTTATTTATAGTGGCTGCGAGGACCTACACTAGAAAGGCCAGCGTTGCGATCGTTTTGACGTCACGAATAGGGTAGTAGTTGTGGAATACGGCAGCTTTGCTTTCGTGACACCACTTGCATCGTCCCCCATTGTTGCACCGGTTCTTAGTTGAGTTAGTACACCTTTAGCAGTGAACCGAAGACACTTTTGTTGGGGGAAACGCTGAGGTAAAGCCGACCAGCTGTCAAGTGAAGCGAGCACGCGCAGCAACAACACTCTTCCTTCCCTTCTTTCACTGGTGCTTTGTCTGTAAAATATATCAATGCTACAAATCACACCCCCCCCCCCCCCCCCGCCCAGAAAAGGAGCCATCCTGGCCAGCAATTCCAAATGCGTAATTGGAATTGCTGGCCCCGCATCGCACGAATGAGGGAAAAGAAAGAGTGCGAGGAGGACGCCAGCGTAAGGATTGTTCGTGCGCTATTGGTTCCTCTCTGTAGGGGACGTGCATGCCTGTAGGTGACGTGCTGGTGACGTACGCACGCACCCGCGATGGAATGTGCAGAGTTTTTCCGGCTGTTCCATCGTTGGGAAGCACCCACAACCTGCTGCCACACTCTCTCTACCTTTCCCTTCTGCCTTTCTGCATCTCTCTTTCCCTCTCCCTGCAAGAGCATAGCCGAACCGTGCTACCCGCAAGAGTTGTAGAAGAGTGACTTTTTTGTTTTGTTTTATTCAATCAACCACTACATCATACGCGCCACTGCTGGCATGGTCG